TCAATTACATAATTGTGCCAAAGTACTAAAAAAGTTTGTGCTGAATATCCATATCTCAACATCTAGTATGTCAACTAAGCTTCAGGTTTCGTCGGAGAAGGTGGTTGTCAAATAAGTTCAACGTACTCCCATCCTTTGGTCCACTGCAAGGGCCTGTATAAAAGTTTTTTATTTTCTTCGGAGCCAGAGAACGGGAATTTGTTCAACCACTACCTGTAGAATAATTTTCACGGTTCTCAACAACTAGGACAATAAATCACGACCATCCCCGCCGAATTAGCGGAGTTTGCAAAATTTTCGAGTTTTGTGGGGTATGAAATTTGGCCATAGCTCTTGCACAGCAGGCGCTAGGAATGCCGGCGAAGACTGCATTTACTGTGAACTTCATCAACTATTTCAATGTCCTTATCAGATCTTCGAAAAACTATTATCAATGAAATCCAAAGACTTAAAAAGCATGCCATATTGTCTGCCTACCGTAGCTCTACAGCAAGAGTCTAGCATGCAGAGGAACTAAGATCTATTGGGTTGGCTAATAAATAAGTTCGTTTTGGCATGCAAATCTCCATAAGCATTCTTCTTGCTGCTTTCTATCCATGATTTTTTGTGAGAAAATAGTTCAAAGCTTCCTCTATCACATATGAAATAGTTAGGATTTTCTATCATCAGTAAAGACAGTTATGCCCCAACAAAAGCTCAACTTTTTGAGTTCCTAAGTTTCGCCTTCATGGTGTAATGAATGTAGAGAACAGCAGTTCGGTATTTGAATGCAGAAAAATTCTCCAAATCTAGTGAATAACAACGAGAGTTGTAATGTGCCACTTTGAAAATCTTTATCAAAAAAAAACCAAGTTTCCTCATATTTGCGTACTATGAGAAAACTGGGGTTTCTCAATTCTTTGCAATTTTTTTTCCTTGAAAGATAAGTTCTACTCAAAAAGAATTTATACCCTAGTTCTCATTGAAGTGCTTTATACAGAGATACCAAACACTGGACAAAAAATCGTCTGCAGCATTTGTAGGAGCCGCAAAAGCGACCGAACTTATTTATTAGCTAACCTAATAGTAACATCCTTTCCCAGAATAATATAAGAATAAGAATGGTAAAAATATAATAATAAGAATAGAAGGAAGAATAACATCCCCCCAGTGGGAATAACATCCATTGTGGTAGGGATTGCAGCTTAAAAGTATATCCTGAAGCTCCAGATACTGATTGCAGGCTGTCTACCTACCCGTAATTATTTCCTACTATCCTTCACTATGAACACGTGATAGGAGCGAGAAGTTCAAGCCGAACTTTCCAGCTTTTTGTATGATATCCTGTTGATCCCTAGCGGGCAGAGTATTTTCTTCAAAGTCATTTTTCTTCCTTCATTTCCTTCATTTGATTCATAAAACGTTCAGTTGTGCTAATTATCTAACCCAACAGTAGTAAGTATGTATCCGATAAAACAAAGAGCTATTAAAATATTGAAATTATCATAAACCTCAACTTTCGACTTGTGGTTCATCGCAATTTTTATGACTTCGATACATCATTTGTTCCTATCAGAGACGTGCTTAGCATGGATTTGGAAAATGCGGCTTGTAATTTTCTCGCTCCTGTTCGAAATGTTCAAAGTGAAAGATAGTAGGAATACTTACGATCGGATGGACAGGAAATTCAGAGATATCTGAATTTCAGAAAATGAAGCTTTCTCTTGAGCTGCAATTTTCTCCCCGGGGGGATGTCAATGCGTGCGACCCTTAGGAGAATCTGCGGAGGATTTGGCCACCTTGGCTATACAAGAAGCTAGGAAATGGATTTTGATGCTTTCACTAGCATCGCGTATAGCAGCTTTGGGCGGGGAGAAGGAATGGTTATCGTGGAACTCAGTACTCCTATTTGAAAAAGCCTGAAGAAGAACAGTTCGTTTAATTTGGCCAGAGAACGAGGAAGCGTGCTCAGGGCCCGACACGCGTTGGTTTGGAGGTTTTTAGGAAACGAAGTCCCCCATGACTTCGCGAAAATTCACGAAGTCCCTCTCGACGTGAAAATCAGTAGGGAAACCCTTATTCAACCAAAATAGCAACAAAAAAGCGAAAAAAGCGTATTTTGAGGTATGTAATATAACAAAAAAGCAAAAAGAAAACATTTCGAGTCGATTAAAGGCTCTGCCATTGGGTATAGTACCATTTTGATGCTGGGAATGTCGAGAATCTCCTAGGCCAACCAAATCTGTTGCCTCCAATCCTGCGATGCATTTTTCGCCACATATGTCAAAGGACACCGCAAGTGATTGGAGCGCGATATCTATCAACGCGTAGAATTACACTACTTTTGACTCAAAAAGGGGAGAGGCAACGGTTTGATCCGCTCTCTTCACTATATGATAGATTTTTGACCGTTTTAATCGTCCAAATCAAAAAGGTCCATAACTTATGTGAACTCTCCGATATTTATGCTCCGAACCAACCCAGTTGGTTTGGTAGTTGGTCTAGAAACCAACAAATTCGAGAACGGATATTAGGACACATAAGTTTCAGGAACTTTTTACATAACATAGTTTGGAGTAATATTGTATACTCATAGCCCAAATTCGGAGTCATGTGATTGTTTGTGAGCTGTAGACAAGCCATTCGTTTGTTTAAGTCTTGCATTTGAAATTCGCGCGCTTGCGAAAGAACACGTTCAACTCGTGAAACCTGACATGTTCGTCGTGTTTTTTGGCGCTTCCTCCAGGACCTCATAAAAACGATGTCCCCGTTGCCTCTAACTCCAAAAACGAAGTCCAGTTTGAACCCAAACCATCAGTGCCGGTGAGCGTGCTCTAACATGGGAACTCTGGGTAGTAAAATAAAGAGCGAAGAGAAGTGGGGACCTGACAGGACAGTGCACCCACTGGCAAGAGATTTTTGGGGAAGGGGTAAGTTTTGGGCTTTTTGGCCATGAGAAGAATGGAAGAATGGATTCTTGGTGCGTTCGCATGCTTTGGTTACACCAGCTTTGGCCAGTGAGAAGGGGGCACCAACCATGAAACTCAGGCTCCCCTAAAAGAAGTTCTGAAAGAGGAGTTTGGTTATTTTGGCTAAAAAATCCAGTCAGAAGATTCTGAGCATCAACTTTTGTACTATGAATTAGTAAAACAAAGAGCGCGAGAGAATGTAGGCGTACAACAGGGCACTGAGAAGAGAATTCTGGAGAGAACAACCTTAGGCTCTTGCCCATAAAGAGATTTGGTGAATTTTGCAGCTCACATACATTGGCTACAGCAGCTCTCAGCAAGGAGTAGGAATGGGCACCGTGGAATTAAATACTCCTATGAGAAAAAGTCTTGGAGGAAGAATAATCAGGTATTTTGCCAGTGAAGTCGCGGTTAAGAGTCAGGGCTCCAACATTGGAACTCTGGGATAACAAAATAGTAGGGGAGGCATTAGAGTTCCTGTATGAACGGTGTCTGGGCTATACATGATGTATCAAAATCTTATCACTTAAGTACCAAAAACACAAGAAATTGCGCCCCAAGCCTTCACAGCACACTTAGCTTCTCGTTTAGTCTTGAGGGCAGTCTTGGAAAAGGATTATATTAGGTTGGTGCAAAATAATGTCCATTTCTCTAGGTCTACTCGATTAACTTTTTTCCTTCAAAATTTCTGTTTCGCTATAGATTCTGCATATCATTCGAAAGCTTTCTTCATGTACTTTCTAACAGTGGTGAGAGCTTCTATCTCATCTGTAAGAATCACCAGTACCTCGCACAGCTGCACTCAAAATCGAAATTTTGTCGCTTTAACTTCCTTGGCCACAATTCAGGCGCAAATGAACTTTAGAAAACATAGCATCTGTAGGGGATGTATATTGTTTATTCATTGCATGTTTAAGTAGGTTCTTTGAAAATATCTGGACTGAGAAATCGACTCCTCAAGATAAACCTGCTGCTGGCATTCCACAGGACAAACATTTCTAATGATCAAAGGCAGTGGCTCGGCAAATCGCAACCTAGTCAAATTTTTGCTTACCTGGGGTTATTCAATACGCTGATTCCGAAAATCGACTTTAGAGAGCTTGAAAACGGCGAAAACATTCGTTTTTGAATGCCCTTCCCCTTGAAGTTGGACGAGTGAAGCAAGGCTGATGGCGCTGAATCGTTGCGGGACCCAGTGGTCATAGCATTGCGGCGAGCAGCCCCCAATGATGGGAAGGAAATTGCCAACTCGTCCGGGCGCGTGTAAGATTGGCTTGCGCGTGTAAGTTTGAAAGCAGTTTTCTCGGCAGGGAAGGCATGCTGTGCAACCGGGATTGCACTGTTTTCATACTTGGGCGATAAGGAACCTATGACGTTGAAATCCTGCGTTGTTAAGTTTTGCCGATCCACTGCCTTCAAGGCAAACGACGCTTCGCTCATTTCTGTAAACTTGAGATTAGGACATCCTGCCTACCATTCTTGCAAAAACACTCAGCTATAACGATGTGCATAAGAATTCCAAATTTTCATTATTTTGGACTCTCAAGCCTACCACAAACAGGCTCAAAAAGTGGACAATTCTGGATTTTCATCTTTCCTTTTCGCAAAACTCTTTCGTTGAGTGTGTTTTCTGTACATTCATATACTACTGGCTTGCGCTACAAAATGAGCTGATTATTAGCTATAGGACCAAAACTTGAAAGGAGTTGTAAGGTTTCAAAAACGAGGTCTTTATAGAGAACTTTCCTGTTTTTTGCCGCATAGTTTTCTTCCGGTTTGCACTATCAGTATGAGCAGGTGTGCGCTAAGTTACGAAAGGCTTGATGCTTCTGATGGTTTTGACTGTATACGAAAATATGAGGAATGAACAAAATTACAACTTTCAAAATGAAACTTCTCAAAATGGACATTATTTTCGCACCAACTTAATATTTTGTGCTCCGTTCTTCTTAAAGTATTGTTGTCTCTAACTCTTACGTTCCATATTGATTGTTTAGTTTATTAACAACAAAATACATCTGTATAAGGCACAAAAAATTGCACACGACAAACCTGACGCTAAAGAAGCAACGCATCAACAACGGTAATTTGCGAACAACACTGGCAGAAAAAATACGAACAACACTGTCTCCAGACAATGGTGTCTTGATTGAGATGAAAGGAGAGAAGGTTCTTGAAAAGATATACAAATGCACCAAATAACGGAATGTAACAGTGATATTCTGAGAAAGCACAAATCTACACGTGTCGAATAATGGAAGGAATCGTCTTCCGTTCCTGAAAAAAAAGGAAGTAAATAAATTTGCTGCAAGCAAAGGGCACGATAATGCTACCTAATGCAAACAGAGCCGTTCACAATCTGCCTTCTTTTCGAAGCGGTTTGCATTTCCACCACAACCACGATAGAAGTACAATTTGCACCGTCGATCTTTCGGAGAGTAGAAGTAGTGAAGATTCGTTCGAGGAGCTTGTTCGTCTTCGCGACAGGCTCGACCTAGATAGGGAGTTGATGCAAGGTAATGGTGATTTTTTATAAAAGCTAAAGCCAAAATCTCAAAAAAGCCTTTTTGATGGAACCAAAATTTTTTGAGTTCTCCATGACAAAAGTAAAAATCCTCTAGTAAAATCACTGGCTATCATTACCTTCTGAAGGCTTTATTTGGCATATGGATTTGTCTTCTGCCTCCTTCATAACCGCAGTAATATCTTCCACATCTGCCGATTCTGCCGGAAGCTCGATCGCATGTTCATTTGAAAGACCAATGGTATCTATTTTAACCGTGTCGCTTATCGTCTCGTTAGAAGCGTCCGTATCAGCATTAACTAAATAGGCATTAGTCAAAATCTACTTCCGACACCTTCAGCACTCACTTTGCACAGATGGTTCGGCAGGCTTTAGCATCAAATGTGCCATAGAATCTTCATCTTCTTCCTCATCCATGTCATCGGCTTCTTCGCTCTCCTCATCACTAGCTGTTGTCGCTTCGACAACTGAAATCAGCTATTAAACCTGAGTGCATAGAACCAGATATTTCCATCGTTTACCCGGAATCCGTGGTTGGAATCTCTCCTCAGGAAGACGTTCCAAGGACTTTTCTGCAAAGGAAAATTTAATTTAAATTCAAAACAGCTCTAAACACTAATCAACCTATTGTTCTAGATGCAAATTCCATTTGATCTGATGGAAGTGATCCGCGCTCAAGTACCTCTCCGGGATTTGATGGTCTACGTCCAAAATAGGGAGCAATCACTGATTCAGTTGGAATTCGTTCAGCAGCTCCGTACAATGGACAGCACATACGAGCTAGAAAAGATAAGGTTGTTGCAGGAACCTCTGCTCATCGCTATAGCTTCCAACACTTACATTGCTTCTCGACATCGATGGCGCAGTAGAATCCTTTGGGGCAAAGTTTCATACCGTCAAAGCCTGCCCCACATGGAATTGGTTCCCCGTCAGACATGAGCGGATCGGATGCATCCGGACACATGAACTTGGGAGTTTGCAAATGAGCTCGGCGACTGTGCTCTTAACAGAAAGTTTTGTGGAGAGTTTTTTTTTTTGAGATTTGATGAGGAAAATTTACCCCGAGGCACACCAGGTAACTCCGGAGCAAATCGGATAGGAGTCTTTTCTTCTAAAATAGATCACAAATAAGTAGCACTGACAACTTGGGGATCTTCGGAGAAGAGAGGAGTAAAGGGCAATGGCTAGGCATAATTTTCCAGACAGCGGGTGGACATTAGCCGCTTGAATTTTTGGGATGCTTTCTAATTTTTCACAAATTGTAAGCCACGGCCTAGAATAGCCTTGCTTCCGAGGCACAATAATAAGAATTGGTAAACAACATGCTTGTCTGCTTTATAGTTTACATAGAGCTTTTCAAAGATTTTGCACACGTTCTCATAGAATGGGAAAGCGCTTGCTTCCACTTCACCAGGGAAAGTAGGTGACCAAAAGATGGATAAATAAGAACCTTTCTTCTCTTCAGCATCAGGGTCAGGACAACAGACATCTGGTGGCCCAGCTAGGCAGAAATACCCAGTGGGACAACCAATAGAGTCCGTTGAGTTGCCGCAAAGGACAGGTGCTGATCCGCCAAGAGGTGATTTTCCGTCCGGACATTGTCCCGGTAGAAGCGATGAAGGAGTTGTAGTTGTTTGCGGCCGTGGTTCTGAAAATCATCATACCAACATCAAATCAACAATTAATTCAGAACTCACTTTGTCCCTTGAGGACGCACAATCTCTGGCAATCAATCAAGCTTCCGAAATTGTTGTCATTACCATTGCAACCGGTATAGTAGAATAACCGGCAACTATCGGAATCACGGTCATAGTAGTATCTGGAAGAGCCATTTGTCTTCAAAGTTGATTCTAAAAGCATATAAGGACGGATATAACCTCATGTGAGCGGCGTCACAATCTCCTGTAGCAAGAGGTTCGATACAGATGGGATTACCATGGCTGGGAGGTGTTGGCTTACGCATCCGTTGAGCTCGGGATACTTTACGGGGCTTCTCGTCTATAATATTCATTGGATGAAAACTAAGCACTTTCAAGCATCAAAAGCCATTCTTTCTAATTGAAGTATTTGAGCGAATCTCAGCTTCTGATGGGAAAATGACAGAGGAAGTTCCAACCGAGCTGTTGTCCAAGCAAGGTTATTTTGATCATTTTTAACAGAGAAACCTACCCATGAACTCAAAACTTGCTCATCTTATGGCATTTCGGCCGGACCAATCAGCATCATGGTGTGCGCTGATTATGCTGATTGGTCCGCTCGGAAAAAATATGGTTTGGGCAAGAGTCTTTGAATTTTTTATCGGGGAATCAATTATATGAGCTGCCGCTCGGGCAATGACTCGGTTATGGCTCTGGTCAAATTACGCATAAGTAGATTCGAAACAGCTTCAATAGAGCACGGTCTTCAATCAAAACTGAAGAAATGGTTTGTGATTTGAGCTTTCTTTTGAAAAATGAAAAGTTTTAGCTTAGCATGTCAGTGGCTAAAACCTTCTAGTTCTTATTCGGTATTGAAAATTACCATCAAATCGCAGTGGTGCGGTCACGGAATCGATGTTGAATGAGACGGGAGCTGTGTTAAATGCGGTATCCATAGATGTTTGACGTCTTCTCCTCGTCCACAACGCCTGTCGTCGCACTCGAAGTGGAACATCATCCATCAAACGACGAATATTCAGGGGTCCGAATACTTTGTAACCATGTTTCGTTTCTTCTCCATCATAACCTATATGATATTATTTGTATTTCACACAGAAACCGAAGAAACCCCGACTCACCTCCAAAGACATGCTTGTCGTAGGGATCTTCCGAGTTAGGGCAACAGAAAAAGTCTACACCATTGAAGTAGCAAACTGATTTTTCCGGGCACTGCAAGAAGTTCTCATTGTTTGAATAGAATTTTGCTTACAAAAGCTTTTTGTATTAACCTGATTTTTTCCTGGCAAGCACATCACTGGACGACCGTCAGCGTAACGAAGTTCTTGCAGACCATTAGGACATGACAAAGAGTCACGTCGTTTTGTTCCACCTTCGGTCAAATCTGTAAGAAAACCTGGTAGAACCTTCTAGTAAGGTTACGGAAAAATCAAACCAGAATCTTCCACAGCAAGTCTTCGATTATTTTCCAAGAATGTTCGTATTCCACCTTGTTTAGTTTTAATCTGAAATGGGTAGATTTTCCAGCATATGATTGTTTGGCCGAGCGCCTAGCGGGCTCTGTAGTTCCATAATTTCAGTAAACTTGGAATGGAGAAAAGCTGAAGGCAAAGCAAAAGCTGGACGGCACAATTTTAGAAGATCCAGAATATAAGAGAAGCTTTGCACAAGTGTTTCCGGTTTCTATTGAGCAAAATGGGTTGATAACGGCTAAAAATTCTGTATATTCCACATAATATAGAGGGAAATAATGACAATTCAAATATTTCTCACCTCTCCGGTTTGATAGTTGACAGTCATTGGAGGACTAGCTCCGAGGATGGGCAACGTTTCCTCAGTGGACAATTCCGCTTTGGGCTGCAGTGGCTCGGCTTTGTAAACTCCCTTCTTCTTCTCGTCGCTGACATTTATTGTTGGTCTAAACATCAAAGTAAAATTCATTTCCTAGTCTAATTGTAGGATCTACAATGTCTGAAAAAATCCTCACAATTCATCCACTCGCTCTTTTTGCACGGTTTTCGCAGCTTGTGCAGCTGGTGGTCGTGGTGCTGAGCCGGGAGATTGGCCGAAGTCGTTGGAAACAGGAGGGAGAGGAGCACTTTGAGAGAAGCCAACTCCATTACCGAAGGAATTGCTAGCAACGGGGGCAACGGGAGCAGCAGCGGTGGACGGAACGGATGGGAACTGGAATTCAGCCAAGTTTGGGTGAGTCAAAAGGCAGTGAACTGACTGAGATATTCCCATTAAACCGTTGAACAACCATCAGGTTAAGTAATTCATTTGTGGCATAAAGATTTAGCTTTGACACTCTCTCACTGCCGTAATTTCACGCCAGCGGTGCTGAGCCGTCGAATACGGTACTGGGCGAAAATTCAGAGCTGAGTTTTACAGCCACGATCGAATAGATTGAGCTGCAGCTTGAGTAGTGGCTTAGATAAGGCCTTACAAAAATTTAAGTAAGAAATCCAGGAACCATAACATTTCTTCTAACAGCTCAAAACCCACCTCATTCTCATAGTCAAGCTCGGCAAGGTCAAGTGTTTGTGATGGTACAGCCTGAGGTTGTTGCGAGATGGAATGTAGCACTTGTGGTGGAGATGTAGCCGGTGAAGGCGTAGACGGTGCAGGTGGACGAGCCGACGGTGAGGGTGGTCGCGCCGTCGTGGTTGTGTGTACGGTGGGCACAAATGGCCGAGGTTGGCGTACTTGATCTATAAGGTGAAAGATAGCTGGATACAGGGTTAACACAATGAGACTGCTGTTCCATTACTCACTTGAGCAAGCACGCTCGCAATCGCTAGCACTCTCGAATTGGTTTCCATTTCCACCTTGTCCTTCGTATACGAACTGCTCACAACGGAGATTGCGCATGTTGAAGTACCTAATTTGTCAGATTTTCTTATGAAATTCATTTGACGCAGCCAAGCTGGGAAGCTGAGAACGCAACTTACCATTTAACATTATAGCCTTTTCCAAAACCTGAGTCTTTATCATAGGTACATCTGTCCTCGACATTAGAAAAGGCCTGGCTACGTGCTGAAACAAAATTTTGAACAAAAAGAATAGCTTGCGCTTCTGGGAGGCAAACCTTTAGAGGTGTCTAGTAAGGAAAATCAATTTCTTGAGCGTTTAAGTCAGAGTTTAACCCCTTTTTCTAGAATTCAACGCACACAGAGACTGGTCACAGTTGCGTCTAACCAAGAGTACATGTTCATAAGAGGCAACAGACAGTAAGTAAAGGGAGAGCGCGCTTGATTTGAGAGACGCAGACAGCGTCCGCAACGGCACTCTGTCTCTGCGGACGACTCGCCTATGAGCTAAATAAGACAACATGCTTTCTTACTCATGTGCATAGGCAAAGAACAACTGACAACAACAGTAACCTATCTGAGGCGAGAACTGGTCTTCAGTAACTGAAGTGATTACCTGGCACGCATCTAATCTCACAACGAGCGCGACTTTCGAAGTTGTTGTCATTTCCACCACACGAGCCATATGAAAATTGCTCACACTGTCCCGATCGAGGGTTGAAGAACCTAAACACTGATATTTGAGACCCGCCCATGGGAGAAGTGGTCTCCGGTAGCAGAGAGCTCTTACCATCTTGGTACATATTCAAAGCAGCTTCCTGCATCTGGAGGCAGAGTACAGACTTGACGATCATTGCCAGAATTGTTGGGCGATGGAGGTCCCGTAGTCGTGGTAGGTGCAGTTCTGGCAGTGATCACCAGAGGAGCGCTTGAACTGGCTCTTTGAACGGTGGTTGGAGCTGATGTGGTGGTGGGAGCATTGGTGACAACTCGTTGTGTTGTACTTTGGGTGGAGGTGGTATCAGCTGCCCGGGTAGAAGCAGCTTGGGTAACAGTAGCTGCTCCGGTGGTCGTTGTTGTTGGAGCTGTAGAGGTGGTCGCTAGTGAATTGCCCAGCATTGGGACGACAGTGGTGGGTTCTTCTATAATAAGGTGCATCCGACTGGATTAGTCAAGTAGTAATATGTATGTGGTGACCATAGTGATTGCAATTTTCAGATTCACCAGAAGTCTCATACGAAATTCATTTATTTGATAGAGTACTCTTTCCTAGCCAGCATGGGAGGAGCGCTGTTTGTTTCAGTCTAAACATTTTGATGCAAAGAATGCAAAACAGCCTAGTGGGTCTGCTTTCTGTCATGGGGTCTTTCCAAAGCGATCTGAGTATAAGCATCCTTTCGCATGGATTACGGGTGAATCGGCTGGAAACTAGCCTGCATTGGGATATAAATCAAGAAGAATGCAAAAATCGAAAATACTGAGCATTAGTGATTTTTGTACCAGAGGGTAAATTACTCCTTTTCGAATTTCGTCACATTTTGTGCTATTAGTAGACTAAAGAATTTATCCTTCTTCGATTGCTAATGTCACGGCTATCATAGTTGCCGCAGAATGCATGTATGCACAAAATTCTCTTAGCTAGCATTCGAAGTGTCCAAAAGTAGCATAATTCTATGCTTTCACAGAATCGTGAGGAGTAGGTTACATACGCTAACATATGAGTATAGTTTTCAAAATTGAGCACATCTGATGAAATTCAACCGATAAATAGTCAGTGAGGAGCATAAACACTCATATTTTGACATTAAAGCTTCGAATTTTTCTACCGCATATTGGCAGTTGTTTGATAGAAATTCAATGGCACGTATGTATTTATGTATGGATTGATTAATTTAGATTGTTGTCAAAACACTTACCAAGACCGTCAATGTCCAGCTTCTCCATATTACGACCGATTCCTGTAGGTTCGAGCGGCACAGGTTCGCGTCCAACTGGGGCAGTCAAATCCTCTCTGGATTCCCAAGAAGCCGCTATTTCAGCTCTTTCATCTAAATTTTCCACATTGCCATCTGCGGGCGCGCGAGTGCTGGTCGTTGTGGAAGTGCTCGTGCTGGAACTGACGACGACCTTTGCGGTGGTTGTGCTAGGTGTGGAAGTGGAAGTGACCGCAACGGTTGTTGTGACAGTCGTGGGTGGTTCGGTGATGGTGACTTTCGGTCGGATCTCAATCTTTTTCAAACCAGTGAGGTCCTTATTTTCTGAATCACCAGTCGCAGTCTTGACTGCAAACTGACGCTCATTCTGTGCAAGTGATGTCTGTGATTTGTCAATTTTCTTGTCTACTTGGTATTCTCTAATGTTCTGATCGTCTCTGCTAAAATCGACGTTGGCAGGATCCACAGCGCTCTGCTTTTTCTCTACTATAGCTGCTTCAGCAATGTATGCTGACGCTGTCGATGCTTCCGTGCCAGAATCAGTTTCGTTCTGGGTCACAGGTTCCTCGCTGGTCACTTCCACAGCTGCATCTGTAGCTCCAGTCTCCGTCTCAGATATAGTGCTACCATAGGGGTCTACTTCTGGGGTGCTCGATACAGTGCTAGTGCTGACATTCTCAGTGGTATATGCACCTGCTGAAATGATAGTGGAAAGATCAACAGAAGCAACAGACTCGGTGGCAACAGAATCGGTGGACATGCTTGGGACAGAGGATGCAGTAGAAGATTCACTCATGCTATCAGTTATACCTTTCTGTAACTTCAGGATGGCTTGTGGTGTAGAGCCGGGCTCGTCAGAAGAAGCATAGGGGGAGATAGTGGTGTATTCAGGAGCAGTGGATGAGGAAGCAGAACTATCTACTTCTACTTCGTTGCTTTTCTGTTCTCTACTCTCGTCTTCCGTAACTGGACTGAATGCGGCAACATTTTCCATGGAATCCATAGTGACTGCCTTCTCACTCTGCTCTGTTCTAGGCACATTCGTTGTTGAGGAAATTTCTGAAATTGATGCGATTGTCGTGCTTTGTGGGTTTGCCTCAGTGGACGAGGTGGTGCTTTGTGCTTCATCTGAATAAGTGGTGTCTGCCGAGGCAGCCGTGGTGGATTCGATCGTGGTGACCGTGCTTGTGCTGGGGGTAGTGGATATGCGGGTTGTGCTCCTGACACTGGTACTGGTGCTTGTGGTTGGAGTTTCCGTCGTGCTCGCGCTCCTGACTGTGGTTCTGCTGACACGATGGCCGGTGATCGTCTGTGGGCGGTTGGTGCGTGCTGCCATTCGCCATTCGGGACCCTCTTCTTCAGAAACTTCAGTGCTTGCAGTGCTCCTCATGCCTTCTACATGAATGACCGGCACAGCCGCTATTTTCTTACCATGCGCCGAATGTGAGGCTACTGCTCTTTGGGAAGAACCTGGTGGGCTATTCTGGAATCCGGCACGTTCCTGTGGGAGTGTCGGGACGCCTGCTACTCGGAGCGGTGCATTCTCCCTCTTCTCGTTCGCTTCCTCGTCCTCGCCGTCACTCGAAACTACTCCTGTAATGCTGCTAATAGGTCTAATATTGAGTCGAGTGGGAAAACTAGGTCGATCATCGTTTTGCCTACTATTAGTATCTATCAAACCGGTTGGGTTATTCACAATTTTGACCTGGTGCGGAGAGTTGTCAAAAGGTAAGTTGTCATTTGAACTTGTTTGGTTAAGATTGTGCAGAATTTGTACAGTGCGAGTGCTGTTAGGTGGTGGTGCTCGAAGAAAGGCTGGGTAGTCGTTAGCAGTGCCAGGAAGCTCAGATAGTTCTTGAAGCTTACGTATTCTTTTGTCGGGGACGCGGACTGGCGGGGAGTTGATTATGGTTCCATCCTGCTTCAGGTAGACGGTTTTACCCATGACATCTAGACCTCCTTGCTCTTCCGCGCTCCTCCTTCCTTCCGATGCCGCCCTAGCGGCGTTGACTAGAGCTGTGACTTTTTGAAACGCTTGTGAGTGTTTTCGGAATTCGCGGAACATCTCCTCAGGGGGACCCTCGATCGCAGGAAATTCTTGAACTTCCATGTCTTGACCCGGTCTGGGTACCCTTATTCCGGGAATGGTTGGAGCATAGTAGTCACCGTTGTAGTAGATAAAATGGCTACGGTCCAACCCGTAAGGAAACTCGTCTCTAGCTGGCCTCTCCCCTCCCAGGGCTGCGGGAATCGTATTTTCTCTCTGGATGACCTTTATATCTTCCTTAGCAGCGGCAGCCTTGTTCCATTCCGCTTTTGTCCTCGCAATGTCTTCCTCAACTCGACTAGGAGAATCCTTAGCTGGTGTGACGACCAGTCGGTTATTTTCGATGCGTCTTTTTGGATACTCGTTACGAATTGTGTTGTTAGGCGATTCTTCAGCGTAGGAAACTCGTTTCTCTGATGTTATATGGTTTATAGCACGTTGATTATGTATGTTATTTGGTTGCATTGTGGATGGAGCTGTTGACGTCTGCTGTCTTGCATTTTCAACGTTTTTGCGGGAATTTGCAGCCTGCGATCGGTCTTGATTGGAAACATTTTGACTTGCTCGAGCTTGGCTTTGTTGCTGAGAATTTTGCGTCAGTGTTCGTTCTTGATTGGCAACATTCTGATTTCCTTGAGATCGAACTTGCTGCTGAGAGTTTTGTAATTGCGCTCGCCCTTTGTTATCAACATCCTGACTTCCTTGAGGTCGATTTTCTTGCTGGGAACTTTGCGAATGTGTTTGTGCTTGGACAACATTTTGATTGGTCTGCGCTGGAATTTGCTGCTGCTGTGAACTTTGTGATCGCAGCCGTTCTTGATTGGCGACATTTTGAATTGATCGGGCTTGTTTTTCTTGCTGGGAACCTTGCGAATGTTCTCTCCCTTGACCGATTACATTCTGACTTCCCTGAGGTTCAAACTGGAGCTGAGAGCCTCGTAATTGCGCTCTTTCTTGATCAACTCTGTTCTGAATTGCTTGAAGCTTCTGCTGCCGCTGAGAACTCTGTGAACCCTTTGTAAACGCCTCCTTTTCTCTTTCAAAGCTCTTCTCAGTGGAGAGGTTCTTGATAACAGCATTTCTTGCAAATGGAGAAGCAGCACGATGTGCCGTTGGTGAATCGACATCTTGTTCGGAGCTGGAAGAAGAAGAAGATAGTGGGCGTTGAGCTCTCCTGTCAGCCGATTGTGAGTGAGAAACTGAGTCAGCTCCACTTGTTCTCGTTTGCTGTGTAAGAGAAGACTGATTTTGTACCGTATTCGTTTGCCGAGCTCCTGTATCCTGCACCGAAGTTATCTGTCGACCGCCTTTGACTTCTCTTGAATTTTGTGGTTCTTGAGAGGGGATTTCTGCTCTACGCATATTCATCGGATTCTGAATCGCTTGGTGACCCTCGGTTTGCCCCTTTGCTGCCTCCGTTCTTTGGAAGGGAGCCTCTAGCTTGTCTTGACCCACTTGCTGTGGAACACCTCTAGCCTTTTGATTGACATTTTGGGAGAATGAGGATTGCACCTGCTGCTGCTGACTTTGTTGTGGAGCCCCTTGCTGATTGTGGTTTTGCAAATTCGCAAATTGAATTACATTTGACGGTATTTGGCTGGACATTTGGAATCCGGCTTTTGTAGCGACATTTAACAATCTACTTTCGTTGTTTTGTGGCAATCGTACCTGCTCTCGCTGAGCAGCTGCTTGGAATTGTAGATTTCTCATTTGCTCGTTGTTTTGCTGGACCGGAATCTGCCCGGAAGGTTGCGCCATAGGGACAAAAGCTTTCCCAGATGCCTGGGCTTGAGCTTGCCGCTGTTGCCACATCATTTGCTGCTGTAGAATAGATGCTTGACCCTGTGGCAAAGAGGAGAATGTCTGTGGGGTCATTGCCCTGGCTGGAAGTAGCTGGTTCTGCCGCATCCAGTTGCTCGTTTCCAATGCGATCTGCTTTTCAAGTGGTATATTATTCACTGCAAATTGTCGATTTTGCACACCTCCCAGATGTTGCGAATTATAAGTGAAGTACGTGGGGTCAACGGGTGGCGATAGCCCTGTTGGATGATTATTTTGCTGTGGATTGTATGCATTTATCGAGTTCGTCGAGTACGAGCGCGGAAGAGATGCTGCAGAAAGCTGACGTGGAACTTCTGGCTGTACTAGAGTTTTCTCCTTTTTCTTTGGTGGAGGAGGAACATCACTATCTACTTCCAAAGTTTTAACTGCCTTAGGAGGCTCTTGCGAGATTGGCGCTTTTTCGAGAATGATATCCGTGCGCGGGTGGATATTCGGTGTGATAGGTACAAGCGGTTTGGGAGGTAATTCTTCTTGGGTTTGAATCACTTTCGGAGGAGGTAGCTCGGGCTTACGTTCTTCAAATAACTGATGTGGTTGTCGCGGGGTAGGAGCGATTCTGACTGGAGAAGAAGTGGAGGTTGCAGCTACTCTAACCGGAGAAGAAGTAGTAGGAGGCTCAGTCGAGGTTGTTGTTCTTGATACCCTTGTCGTTCTCGGGGTTGTTGTGATTCTTTCAGAAGTGACCTGCACCCCGGTGGTGGTAGGACTACTGGACGAAGTTTGTGGAGTAGTAGAAGAGATGATTGGCCTGATGGCGAGTCTTGCACGTTTTTCGGCAGTGACTGAGTTCTCAAGCTCCTCATTCTCCTCAACCTCTTCCACAACCTTACGTAAGGAGATGCCAGCTGCTACAGGGGTGGGCTCTGACTTCTTTGGATCCTCCTTCTTTGCTGGAACTGTAGATTGTGACTTCTCCGGGACCTTCTTTTCCGCTGGGACATCGCTTAGCTCCGGATGTCGATTAGTTGTATCAATGCCCCAAGCTTCGTAAGTTTCCGGGTAGTATGTCGTGGTAGATAAAGATTTCTTCCCCACTTCATTCCCAGATGCATGCTCCCGCACCTCGGGAGGTAGGTCAAACGGTAGATTGACGGCAGCAAATGCACGTTTTGGAGCTGCTGATGAATTCTTCTTAGCAACTGTGTTATCGGGCTTTACAGAAGTTGTTGTTAGATTGTGAGAAGTTAAACTTTTGTTCAACGAAGGAGGTTGCTTTTGATGGTTATCTGTCCGCTGTTGATCCTTCTGTGGCGGAAGTTCCGGCGGAACTCGGACAAGGGGCGTCTTTTTCTCGGCTGCTTGTGCTGCTTCAGCTTCATGCACATGCAATGTAGCATTAGTGTCGAACACCCGATCTAAAACAGTGTACGGTGAGCGGCGGAAATGTGTACGAGTTCGTGTGCTTTGCTTAAGAGATACAGCATGCGAAGCGTTGAAAGCGATAGTAGGAAGCGTGCTCGACACATAAATAAAACTGAAGAAGTGAGTTGAAGAGTGGACGACCGTAATCTGTTGGTTAGATGGTTACAACGTCGTCTTTGGTGAGAGAACGTAGTGGTTTTTTGGTGTTATAGGGCCCTGAAACCGTACAAAGTGCCCGAGAACCGATGTTTAGTGCCTCGTTCTCAGAGGTAATGTTTTGAACTGTTATGAATGATGAGAACGAAACATTCTTCATGGAAAACCCGAAGTAATGGGCGAACTTACGCAAGAAACGAGCACAGTGGATCTCGCATTCGTTTTGTGTGAAGAAGTGATTGCGATTTCCGGCACATCCACCATATTTGAAGGGATGGCAAGTGCCGTCTTCGGTATTGAAGAACCACCGATCAACGAAGTGTTTGCAAGGACCAGGTTCCTACAACGATTTCCAAGACTTGAGATGTATTCGATTTAACAACCGAAATGTTGACTGACCACTGGCTGCGTGCATTTCTCTTGTAGCTGAGCGGACAGTGGCGGTGGCAGAAGCTGCTTTGAATCGAGCTCAAGTTGCTTGGATTGTGAGGATTGCAAGGTTGGAGCTGCTTCTAGACAAACACCGTGTACTCGCACTAATCCCACGCCATACCACCCGAAAAATTCTTAACTCTACCTTGTCTCACACGGTTGTCCCTACTGCCAGGAGGAGCTGCACTTTCAACTGTACTCATACCACCTGGTGGTCCCACTTTAGTAGGGGTAGCCGGTGGACGAGCTAAGCCAGACACTGGACGTGAAGTAGCAGTAGGACGTGGGGTGGCACGTGGTGGAGGTGTGGGCTCATCATTCTCATCTTCCTCCGAAGAAGGAGATTCTATTCTCGTCGAAGCTGGGATGGTAGGGCAGATACAGTCCTGAAAGGCAAATTTGAAAACGTTAGAAACTTTAGGGTTACGGGATGAGGTATCAACTTACCTTGCATCCTTTACGGTTGTTGATTACGATACATGGATCCTTGCAACCTTCAATGTCAACCTCTGGGCAGTGTGGGGCATCACCACCTGAAAATTGGATGAGTTCATTAGGTTGCCTCATAATTCTCATCAAAGTTGAACTACACTATATTTTCTTGATTTTTGGTAGGTTTATGTTACTGAATAAAACGCAAGCTTTCGAAATATTCACCGAACATTCACATAATTAGTGGTCCCCCTAAAAAAATTCTCGATTGGAACCCAATGACCCTTGATTTCACAAAAATCATGTCAAAAAATCTTAAGAAAATTCTAGAAATCTCCTATTTCTTCATACATTAACACATTGACGACGGCTTGACACACATGGTGTGTCAAGCAATGACTACCGCGTGGGACCGCTTGACACACCATGTGTGTCAAGGCTTGAATTTTGATAAAATGACAACAATTTTGAAATAAACTCTCAGTCCATGAGCTTATTTTGCACAGAATCTATGGATGACTTCTACCTTTTTTGTCAGCCCTTCAGATCTACTGTAGGTAAACTGTAGATGACAGTATGAGTAATTATAGTTGAAGTGGGCTGTTCCGTAAAAAGGCCTAGGTCCCAAAAGGCAGACAACTAAAAATCTGCATTGTCACTGTGTTAAGCACATGAGTATAGCACTTTGTACTTTTTCTCGTGGGTGAAAATCAGGAAAAGGGGGTGTGAAATAACAAATTCCGCTAGTGGTCTTGGAATTCTTTGGATATGAAGCAATCTCAAAATAGTTTGGCAACTCTCCTGTGGGCGTATTTTATAACAGGAATTTCAATTTTACCTCATTTTGTTCATAAGCAACATACGTTGAGAACACACCTGGTGGAGAGGGCTGATTGATCGGAGGACAACTACAGAATGGACATCCAGACTGATCGTTGACGATCTGGCATCGAGCCAAGTCACACTGTGGATTGGGGTTGCAAACTTTCTTTACGCAGACGTTGCGACATTCTTGAATGGTGGCAAAATTGTTGCCATTGCCTGAAAGGTTAAATTTTTACGAACTCCTGCCGAATTTGCCTATTCTTGATCTCACCTCCACAACCTCCGTAAGTGAATTGTCTGCAGTCGTTGGATGACCGATCATAACCAAATCGTACGAAAACACCACTGCATTCACCGACTTCGATGTCGTGTTCGCAAAGGTTTCCGGGTGATAGAGCAACTAAAATTGATATCTTAGTCAGTACCATTTTTTACAGGATTCAGAATCATTCACCTTTTTGGCATTTAATACGGCATTCAGCCAAAGTAGCAAAATTGTTGCCATTTCCACCACATCCTCCATAGGTGAATGGACGACATTCGCCAGACTCAGTGTCAAATGCGAATCGCTAGATAAGTTGCACTAAGATGATCTCCATATGAATAAGATTTTTCAAACCTGGAAGACTCCGTTGCATTCTCCTGCTTCTACATCGTGTTTGCAGACATTGGCAAAATCGTTGGCAACTACGGGGGCAGCTGGAAGGTGAAGAATTGTAGCTCAATTCTATTCTACTTCATTTCGTCTACAGTGTAAAGGGACACATTCCCTGTGTCACTATCAGGTTTGTCTTGTGAAAGGTCAAGGTATGATCATATTACGATTTCCGATTTTTTACTTTCTTATATTTATATATACCTGCGATTTCTACTAACCTTCCTTGTGGCAGATTGCCAGACATTCTTCTCGACTTGCGTAATTGTTACCGTTTCCTTGGCATCCAGTGTAGGTGAACACATCGCATATCTGAAGGGTTTAGCTGATAATTAACCAACCAATTTTTGCTGATCAAAAATAACAGAAGGAAACAAAGTTTGTTCATTTAGAAAATACAAATTTCTTCTTCATGTTTGTCCTCTATTTTTTGTGAAAATAACGTCTCAAAAATCTGCGAAAAAGCCTAGATTTGGCTGTAAGAGCATAAGAAGTTCATAATGCACTTGGAGGGAAAATACTGTTGTATGAAGTGTCAGGCAGAGACATTTGGAAGAGAAAAGATTTTCAAAAAATTTTTACGGATGGTTACTTCTTCAAGCCATTAGAAACTTCACTGACATTAAAAAAACAGCATTTGAATCAAGAATGGTAGTTATCTGCAGGTGACCTCCGACCATTCTTGATATACATAGAGAGGTACCATGTGCGTCAGAATATTTTTTGGGGGAGGAGGGGGGAGGGAGGGACAAAAACTCTGATTGCTCAAAATATTTCTGTATTCAATGTTCGTGTTCTACGCGGATCCTTTAACCACCCAAAAATAGAGTGAGAGTAACAGCAGCCACTCGCGCGAAAAAATTACAAGGCCAACTTGAATTTCGAAAAATTATGGTTTCAGTGCTTTAGAAGCACCAAGAAGTCATTTGCGCATTTTTGAGACTGATGTAGGTCACAAAATCGACGCTCTGTCCTTCGCGGCTGCCACTGACAGCTAACTGTTTGCCTTAAATTTAGGGTCTCACCTTTCTTTCGTTATCCCAGTACCAGCGAATGAATTGTCCTCGACAGTTTCCAGGATCTTTCGGATGCAAGCATCGGTTCACTTCAAAGGAATAAACTGAGGTACAGACATAACGTACAAATGAACAAAGGATGAAAAGCATAACAGAAAATCTAAAATGTGACAATAAATAGAACAAAATTCTGTTGAAAGTGCGAGTGCAGACCCGCGGACATTTTTTTGGAAATCTAGCAAAAAACGGGTTGTGATCTTGTGAGTGATATAGCGTTATCACCAAGCGTGCTCAAGCCATGCTTTTAGGCGCTTCGAAATAAAGAATAATCGACATTATTTTACATGCTCGAAAGTAATTTTCAAATTCTTCAATGGACGGGAATTCATAGAGCAAAAATTTGCAGAGTTCAGCCCTGGGTAACCATCACTTTTTGATTACCCGATAGTTTTTCATCAAGAGAATTTAGCTATCATTTTGTAGTATAATCATACGTACATGTTTTCCAGTAGTAATTTTGATATCTTTAGGAAGGTGAACAAAAGATATTGGCTGTGACAAGTAGATGTTTTTTACACCGATAACCAAGTTTGGTAAAACGCTTTAATCAGTCTGGCACCAAAACATTAGTTTGATTGAATGGTGTGTGATACCGATCTTAGTTATCGGCTAAAGAAAACATATACAAATAACTACATTATGCCAATATTCATCAATAATAGAACTTGGAGAGCCTCATCAAAGATACTGAGATATATTTAGAAGCTGGGGTTTTGCCTGTTTTTTGACGAAGCTTAATTGTATCCAACTCATATTCTCACATTCTCGGAAGTACTTAATAGCCAGCCACATTGAGAAGTTCGTTTTTGCGCTATGAGTTTTTTCTGTACCGATGGTATAAATTATCATGCAGCTAAGACAAAGATATGAGTTGGAAAAGCATGCAGTTTTCTTCCAATTGCGTAACATTCCTAAACAGAAAAATGTGCTAGTGCGATTTGACATGCAATAATTTTTGAGGTTTCCATAACTTGGGCTGTTCGAGACTTCCATGTCAACGAGCTATAGACTATTATCCAGGTAGCTGTCTATCATACCGTAGCTACGCTTTTCAGCAGTTTAATAAGACTAAAAGCAAAAAAATCCCATTATTCAGCAGTTTGGAGCTCTCGTCCCCGGCATATTTCGGGCGATTTTAATCGTGGCGCAATTTGGCAATATCGATTTGTTTACAACTCACTGTAAGCGAAATTTATATATACAAAAGCTTAAGCATTTCATCCAACTATGTCATATACACTATGCATCTTTAGTCTGCGAGTGTAGGATCTGAAGTTGGCAAATTGCCAGACGCGTGACGACTTAATTGTCAGAAGTATGTCCGGGCCTAATGATCCCAAAGATTCCATTTTGTTTAGCTTAGGACAATCAAAAACGCGAGCACGTTCCCTCAGTAAATTTATTTGCTCTCCAGAAATATGAATGTAAGAGAGCTAGACAGTTCTATTTTTGTGTTCAGTGTTTAACTTACAAGCTCTACACTTTTTTTAGGTGTTACAATCTCGCTAACAACGAGTTTCTAAGAGTGCAAACAAAGCAAAGCAGACCATTTGCGTGTGGTGCGCGAATAGCATGCGTGCAGATGGTTACGATTGGTTAAGAAAAGCATTATTACCGCCGTCAGCTTGATGCTCCTCACTACCTTCCAGCAGTGCCATCTGTGGAACTGGAGGCGCACGAGTCGGCGCCACATGTACGGACGACGACGTCGTCACTTCGCCTGATTCTTCGGATTCGGAGCGTTCTCGAGATTCAAGGCGCTCTCGGTTCTCAGTTCTTCGTTCTGCGCTAGCGGCTTGGAAGCGAGCTCCCGTCGTTGTGGTTGGAGGTGTGAAGCGGTTCTCAAAGGTTGAGGTGACTGGCTCTGCAGTTTGGGTTCGGCTGGTGAAGGAGGCAGAGGGCACGGAAGCTGCTCGAACGGTGGCAGTGGGATAAGGTGTTGAGCTGAAACCACTGGCTGCAGGTTAAAAAAATCAAATATGAAAAAAATTCTTTAAGCAAAAATCAATAAACATAAAGATATACAATTGCTTTACTAGATGTGTCTCCTCACCTAAAGATTCACAAAACTCAGGATTTAAAATTAGCATTGGAAAATGAAGTTGGAATTTGTTGCAGATTGTTGGTGCTATCTCACTTTTAACTTGAGTCTAAACTGCCAAATTTTTAAATTAAAAATGGAAAATACACATCTCAGATTAGCTCTAAACATTAACAGTTGCATTTTTTTAGATCAAAACCACCCTGCAGATTTGAATTATGCTTGAAATTTCAAATAGACTTGAAACTCAAGCTGAGTTTCATATGAAAATCGGCTGATTTGCAGTTAAGGAGGACCACCACATTCAGAACAAAATCACAAACTATTATGTTAAGCATTAGCCCGTACAAAAACAAAGAAAAGTCTCCATTTTTTATTTTTGGAAAAACAATCCACCTCTCCGTAAGTGCCTGAGCTCCTTCCTGAGCTCCTCCTACACCAGGAGTGATACGAATTCCTTGCGTGGTACGGAATGGAGGCCTACCGCCTCCTGCAGTTGGGGGCGTGGTGCCAAGGTTTTCTTTCACTAAAAACGATTTTTTTATTTTTCAATGATTGGTCAGAAAGAATTTTACCTTTTGCGATACCACAAGCTGCTTCGCAGTCTTCGACTTTTTCGAAGTTGTTTCCGTTGCCTTCACATCCTCCCCAGAAGAAATATTTGCAGTCCTAAAAAATTATATCACAGATTTTAGATGTTGGTAGTGTTTCAATTTTTAACTTCAAACTTCACTTTGCCTAATTTTTTACCTTGGCTTCAGCGTTGTAGTAGAATCTCAGTTCGTATTTATCACATGGACCCCGTTCCTTAGGCATCGAGCAGACATCGCTTGGATTAGTTGCTTGCAAACCGACTGCAACGTATTTTTATAAGTTCTGCCCAAAATTTTTACAATCACACAAAAACTCACTTGTTTTGCTATTTTCCGGGCAACAAACTTTGGCTTGCTGGACTACGGTACATTTGTATCCCGAGGGACAGTCGGATGTAGCACAGTTGACAGCGACACCCAGCTTGGTCTTCAGCGGCTCACCCTAAAAAAGGAGTTCCGTGAAACTAAAAAGACTGAAAGTGTAAAAGAAGGGTGAAAAAAGCGATATCTGACCTTTTCACACTTCGGTAATCCCATAGGTGCAGGGGCACATCGTTGTGTGCAAGCATCCTCAGTATCGTAATTGTTACCGTTTCCGCCGCAACCCGAGTAAACAAATCTCTGAATACGGTAGTTTGTCTGTAATTGCACAACCAACTGTTTTTTCCACAAACCTTGCACTTCGCCTCCCTTTCATCAAAGTACCATCTATTCAAGGTAGATGAACAAGGTCCTCGTACCCCACTTCCAATACAATCCTTAGTTCTGGGAGTAGCGGCGCTCTGTATACCTAAAAGTGCACTTTATCTCCTTTCTTTAACTTGGGGAAATCCATTTAAGGGCGAGGAAGGGGAAATCGCCTACTCACTATCGCAATCCGGCTTTTGACCATTACGAGTTCGGCTATTAGCAATCTCGATTCCGCGCGAATCAACGCAAAAGCATTGACGACCGTCGGGTTCGCACTAAAAGTGCCAGTTGCAAAACAGGACATGCTTTCGGATTATTAATGGAGATAGCTTTCACATGCCTGAGTTTTTTCGAAAGCGCCCTGGGGGGTACACAGCGGAACGAAAGCTCCTCGGATAGAAGACGATGAAGCACTTGCACGACGGCGTTCACATTCTGGAATAGAGGTATCGTAAAGTATGACAAATCCGAGGTTTAATTGAAATTCTGGTTCAAAAGCAGTGCGATAAAAAAATCTCTTGTTTGTGAAGTGTATCATTTACCCCAGAAGCTCTCAATTTATTTTCTACAATTTTCTGAAGTGCGCCAAAGCAAGAGTTCCCAGATCACTAGCCTATAATTAGTTCTTTTGCGACTCGACGGCAGTTTTCAAAGGATAAGTAGCCGCGATGAGATTCTCAAATGGGAAAGTGATCAAAGGATGTCAGCAAAAATATTTTCCAAATGGCAGCACATATGCTTGTAACCCTAGAAACACTCCATTGAACTTCAGCACATACCGTACCTCTCAACGCACTCGAAGATGCTGATTGGCTCATTTGAGAGATTACTGTCTGGGCTAAAGTTTGCGAATATCTTGGCCACAGAATTCATATGAGCTGCTATTTGGGCGATGGCTTAGCTAGGTTCTCTCATTCAGTTTCCAGATAAAAAGTCCAGAGACTCGGTTTTGCGTGTACACTGACTATGAGCATTTGAAGCGTTGTTAAGATGGTAGTCGACAGCTCGACTAAGATTTCTGGATCACTTCTAAAATTTACCTTTTCATATTTGGGAAAGTTGAATGAAATCGCTTGAAAAAATAGTTTCAAATTTTTTGTAGTAACAAATTTTTTGAGATAAAAATTTTTTTTGTAAAGTAAGATGATGACAAAGAACCAGATTTTTCCTGCAGAAAGCTCTTATCTCACCTGTTCTTGGCACGGCAGTTGTCGAAGTAGTTGTCGACGATCTTTCCGTGGTTTGTGCCTTAACACCAAATGTTCGACCTTGGATGCGAATTGCAACAGGTGCAGTAGTGGTTGTACTAGTGGTGCTAGGTGCTGCTGTTGTAGATGATTCAGTGGTCGTGATAGACGCTTCAGTGGTAGGTACAGCGGTTGAGTTTTCTGTAGTGCTTAGAAATTCTGTGGTAGTAATGGTGGCCTCAGTGGTGGTGCTGGTAACTTCGGAGGTGATGGCGGTAGCACTGTAGGTGGAGGTAATTTCAGGGGTATTAGTCGAAGAAGACGAAGTTGAAGTAGACGCGGAAGTCGGTTCTTCTGTGGTAGTCGTGGGTGCAGATGTGGTGCTAGTCTCCTCTTGGATAGTTGATGTCTTTAGCGTGGTTGTTGTGGTAACCTGGTACGAGAATTACATGCATAAAAAAGACGACAGGAAAGTTAAATCTGGAATTTGATAGAGTTAACGACGAGAAAAGTTAGAGTGCTCATGCTTTCATGCTTGTTTTTTATTATACCTGCTTAGTGGTGCTCGGTTCAGCTTTTTCAATAGTAGGTGCTGTTTTTGGCTCGTTCCCTAGCGTAGCCATAGTGGCGGCATCTTCCTTCGGGGAACCCAGATTGGCTAAAGAATTTGACACTTCATCAACTGTCTACGCATTCTTGCACTTCAAAACTCCAATCCCATCACTAGAATTTTTTCGCTGACCTGGTGGTGGATTGATACATGCGTCCTCGCATTCCTCCTTGTATCGGTACAGTTGCGGTTCCGTCTCGTCACTGGCACAATGACCTGGAAAACGCCTGCCTTTCATTGAGGGAAAATAACAATCAAGGCCATCGGAGAGAAAACTCGAGAAGACTTTATAGAGTTCATCAACAGAAACAAAGCAATTCAACCCTCCTCGCTACAATTCTGAATGTAGAATGGGGAAAGTTTCATGAAATCTGCCGTCTTTATCGGACTCGAAGCCTTCTGGGATTCGCCAGGCTTGTTCAAAACAACCTTCGAGATTTTGGTTCAAAACGGATGATAAATTCACACTCAGCTCGTCAAGGTAAACATTCTTTCAACGTCAAACTACTGTAATCCACCTAGGTAAGGCAGACATACGATGCGGCTCGATTTTTGTGCGGAAGCGTTTTTGTATTGACCCAAGAATGGGTCGCGAAATTTTTGAAAGTTACAAAAAGTTAAAAATTGTGCAAGGGACTTGCTTATACTTGTAAATAATTAAAATAATTTTATAAATTCTCCAGAAATTCAATTTACCCTTATACAAAAAAATTTACGGGACCAAAAATTATTTCGGAATGCGTGGCTAAAGCCATGCACCTTCATCAGAAAAAATCTGTTGCCCCTCCCCCAAACGGAAATCCTAGGTACGCCACTATTCAGAACAACAGGAAGACTTAGCTATTATTCAAAGGTTTGCCAACTTTTTTCAAATCAGTTTCTCAATGAAGAACTCTTTCCTCTTATACCATTTTTCAAATTACAATTGTTCAAGAGATGCTAAATCCAATCTAAAAACTTTTTCAGCGTAGAATTTGAGGCCAACTTGAATAATCACTCTCGGAAGAAAAGATAAGTGCTAGGTAATGTTCTAGGAGTAAAGGAGAAATTTTTGTGAGAGTAAACTTCAGCAAAAATTGTTTTTACCCATTTTTAGGCATCGGAGGCGTAATTCTTTGAGATTTTCTTGCTTTGAAATTTGAGACGGGAATGTTAACCTACGACTTCGCTCAATCCCCGCAGCCAAATTCCAGTATTTCCAAACCCCACCCCGGTTTGAGAAACCCTATAGTGTGTACTGCAAGTTTTCTTTCACTGGAATGTAGCGTTTTCTCGTACGATCTTATTTTCGAAAACTGGGGCAAATTCACGTCGTGCGCGGCGCAACCGACCGTCACTTCGAATGCGAGGCGAGCGATTTCACGTACGCGCGATCAAATGAGATCGCAAACACTACCAAAACCACAAATAGCGTTAGCGCAGGATTAATGCGAATCCACGCTTGAGCTGTGAAAATTCACGAAAATGAGGGGAAACCCGTACGAAACTCACCGTAAGGGTAGCTGACGCATTCGCCATTCCGCATATAGTAGCGCAAAACGAATTGCGAACGTTTAGGGCTCTCGCCGTTTTTTGACGGACATCGGCCACGGAAGGGTTGTCGCTTGCACGGATCCACCGAATCTGAACGAGCAAAAAATAGGCCTCTTCACCTCGTTCAAAATGAGCATTCATGGATAAGTGACTCACCCGCACCGGCAGCGGCTACCACGGCGCAGGCCGCAAGTAGCGCTATAAAGCGCATTTATCTGCAAAATCAGGAATTAATGAAAAATTCTTGAGGCCACGCTTTGGAGTAAAAGTCGAGGCAGATGCAAAATACAGAGGAATTGAGCTCAAAGATTTCAAAATCAAAGTACACACATAGAGGGAAGGAATATAGGTTTGCGAAGTGTATAAGAGTTTTTGCAAACAACGAACAATACTTTCATAAAATTTCAAAATTTTTGACTTCTAACTCCAGAAAATTGTAGATAAAATTACTTGAGAAAAGCGCATATGGCTACTGCCAAGGTAAATTTGAGAAAGGCAGTAAATGGGAAGAGCACACAATGGTAGAAATAATCTCTAGTACTTGAGCGATGGGCACAATTTCTTCAAAGTTGTCTGCATTGTCAGAATATTCCCCGAAAGACTTTTTATTTTCACTGCTCACTGAATTAATTCAGGAAATTTTTTGTTGCAGAAGTTTTTCTGTTTTGATCAGCAAAATTCATTTTTTGGCTTAACAGTTTGAGAAGTCCAACGTGCAAAAAAAGTTGAAATTGTTCTTGAATAATTCGAAAGATTTCTAAACTCCAGTGCAAACTGTGGAAGAAATTTTTACGTCTTAAGACCACCCAAAGAGACGCTGAACATGACGTAATGGATCCAGAAAATCGCGAGGAATCGCGAGAGCTTTGGAGAAGGATATCGAAACATAGCTCCTGTTATGGAGGTAAGAAAAGTACCGGTTGACGCCACGCCTTGAATCGTTTTCATATGTAAAATAGATGACGGGGAAGACAAGAATTTTCCTTCCAAAACTGGCTCTCCTAAGTTGGCGATCGGGAACTATTCAGGACCGCTTTTCCCCTTTTCGCAGTAAAAACGACAAGCTCACGACAGATCGGACGGCAATTTAAGTGGTCAGGCGAATTGAGGGTTTCGCCCTAATGCTTTGGGACGAATTCATAGATGCGCCAGAGCATTTAATTTTTTTTTTGTTACAGCAGTGAGACGCTGAATGGGGGTTGGGGGTGTAGATAAAAAATTACGACAGCCAGGGTGGTGCGAATTCGTCGGAGGCGTTCCTTTCTACTATAAAGTGTGTCGGTGTGCGCCAACGTTGAGTTATCTGATCTTCCTGTCGTCGTCGAATCGGCCTTGACATAACTCGGCCCAGTAATGCGCCCCCCATCTATACTAACACAGACACTGATTTTCCGGATAAGCCCCCACCACAGGGTTCAGCGACAGCCATCCCGTAGCAGGCAGTGCGACGGGGTCAGATTTAACGTAGAACATGACTTCGAGGACGTACGGCCCCCACTTCGACAGCAAGAAGCTCAAAAATTCAGAAAGTATGGTTTATCGTCCATAAAAAATGAAAGACGAGAAATAAGGGCACTGTGCGCTCAAATCTAGACAGATACAAATGACCACGACGTCTCAGTAGGTTAGCACCCAAACGAGGTCAAGAAAAGCAAACCTGAGCGGAGGATTTGTGTAATAGATTCGATTGGATTGCCCCCGTAGGTTCCTGACCGGCTACCGAACCTACATAAATCATTCAAACTATAGACTAAGTTTGTTTGGGAGTGCCGGACTTGACGGACAGTCTTGGAGAAAGGAGGTTGAATACGGGGTCATCTCAATTAATGCACATAAAACTCCTTTTAAGAAAAGAAGAGTGAGTCGAAGTAGTCTTTTCACTTGCGAATTATACCATTGAAGGTATTTAATTCCGAATCTCTCGTTACTTGCAGAGCGCCTTCAGGGGAGGAGTTTTTGATTTTTTTTGTGGAACTAAATGGAATATGGAATGATCTGCCAATATAAGACCATTGAATGAAAATACAAATGGTCGGCTATAAAAGATCAGTCAAAGTGTCTTTCGTAAGTCTACACAGCAGATATGAAGATCATTCAGGTATTTCCTGCAGATGCCTAAGGTAGAATTGTATACCCATACCCTTTAGGCTAACACACATTCCTTTGGGTGCGCCACTTTCAGCAAGTGTTTTCTCCCTGTCAGTGCACAAACGAACCATAAAAAACTTCATTTTGCCACCTCCAATTCTAGAGCATCGGAGGAATTCTTTCCTAACGTGATTGGAAAAAGAGTGACCCATGGTCACATATATAAAAAGCAATGATGATCATAGATAATAATCAGGCAAGCTGCAGCAGGAATGATATGAATGCCGGCTTTTAAGCTTTCTATGAGATAGTCCGAAAAGCTCTAGATTGAAAGTTTACACCATTCTAATTTTCATTGTTAATAATTTCGATAATGATATCAAACCTCATTCATCGACTTTATCCCAAATAAACATACTTTGCAGAATGACAATAACCTTCAAAAAAGAAATTTTTTCATGACAGTGAATGCACATATGAAGACCTTCACAAATCTTGGTTTCAAAAGGGTTGATAAAACTGGCGTCAAGAAGAAGTTTGAAACTTCTTGTGGAATGTTTCCAGCTTACAGGCAAAGAACCAATTTTTTCCTAATTTGAATTTAGTGAATTCGATTGCTTCCGCTTTGTTTATACATAGGAAAGTCTAAAAATGAAAAAAAAATTTTGAAAAATCTAAAAGAACAAACTCTTCGTTGCGAAACTGAAGTGCTAAAGCTCTTAAATTTGCAACCTTTCATTAACTGGATGATATATCAAAGATGGAAAATAATATGCAAAACATGATTGAAAGAAATGATAACTTAGAAAACAATTTTGGTGTTTCCAGTAAAACCTTGTTCACAGCGACTTAGGTTTGCCCTCATTACGCAAACTAGAGTCATCGAATTTTTTGGGCTCCTGCTGAGACTTACAACAGAAAGTGAAGGAAGCTGATCATTGAGGTACTCTCTTCATCAGCGCTTTCCTGAACTAAACCCAGATGCAGACCCGTTGAAATATTGAGATGAGTGAAAGTATGATTTACATGGTAAAAACCTTCGATGAATAAAGCAATTCTTATCAGGGCACCAAATCTTGGGGAGCAAAACATTCAGGAGAAATTATTTCGATGAAGTTGCTTAGAAAAACTACTAGGAACTACTACCAAAAAAGATTTCTGGAAGATCCATTTACAAGTAGTCTTGGGAAGTTTTTATGGAATTGATGTTCCACCGAAGGCGCTACGTCAAATTAAAAAATTTAAGCTGTGACAAAAACTAGGGAATCCAACACATGACCTATGAGACACTACCGTGACCGAATAAGTCGAATTATGGGGTACAATGCGATTGAGTGGCGGAAGCGTAAAACAGCAGGAATGAAGGCGGATTTCCGTGCGATTAAACGGCTAGCCGTCGGAACGGGCGAGGAGTGGATCCCGAAAGGCGATCGCGCGCACGGCTTTTAGTTCGGTCGCAGTGCATTCTGATTACAAGTGTGGTTATAGAAAAAGCAGGAGAAATTTAGGTCGCCTCACATTATGCGATCCAAGAAAATCGTTGCATTTGTAGTGCGATTGCACTCGTTTGATAGTTCTGCTCGTCGATTTCGAATTCAAATTGGAGCGCATGAAAACATAAGCGGTGAGTTGAGGTGCTTCCAAAAACTGCGGAAAGTGCTAGGAAAACGAGGCAACCCCTCAATTAATTGAAGTGATCAGAGTGAGGCAAAGTTATTCAGACATAAGTCTTGTACCTAAATTGCTGAAGTAACTTCCTACAACTTGTTTAATTTAACACATAACAAAGAGAGAAAATCATGCGCTTTCTATGAAGGTATCAAATTTTTTTGGCATTCACAACCATAGAAGCGAATCAAAACCCGGGCTCGGCACGAGGTGGCTTCCCGGAATTGCAAAAACGAAGTCTTTGATTTCACTAGGAAGGTACGACATCCGCCATGAGATATTAGAAAGGAAAACGCATGAAAAGGAACGAAACAAAGCAAAACAAAAAAATGCCAAAGAAGCATCAAAAACGCGCCCGGAGCAGCATTGTCGTCGCCATTCAGAATTTTCAGGGGGCTGTAACTAAGCGGGAACGAAGGGGTTTGATGCGGTTTAGGTAGCAATTTGTAGGGTTTGGGATGTAGATGAGATAAAGAAAGTAAAGAAAGAAAGAAAATGATGTGAGGGAGGGAAATTTTACGACTTTTCCTTTCCCAATCCACCTCAATGTCTTCCAGATGGCTTGAAAGCCACTCAAGTCCGAAAAAAGTTGAGCACGCCTATAATTCACATAATTTTTTTTATAATTTTTTATACATAGTCTTGACTCCTCATTGTCCATCTACACACCAATTTTGGTTTCATTTCATTTTCACTTCGCTGTAAACCAGCCCTCTGTTTGTTTGGGAAAGCATGCCGCCGGAATGCCTTCAGCGTGCCCACGGCACGCGGACCGCAAAAAGCGTTATCCTCTTTGCTTTTTCTTCAAAAACGATATCCAGCTTGCTTGGTAAGCCATCTGTGCCGTGCCCTGATCAAAAGAAACCCTAAACAAGACTGGTACATTGAAACTTGATACTGGAATTGGAAAGTGTATGTTAAGACTAGGTTTAGTTAGTTTCATTTGTAATCTGCCTCTCTAAGAAAGATTCTTGCTGAGATTCTTTTGCAAAGAATTGAGATCGATTTTTTTTCATCTGTGTTTGTTAAAAAATTTCTTAACGTGTTAAATGAGTACGCCAAACTATATGTCATAAAAAGTGTTGATTCAAGAAGAATTTTCAAACGTTGAACGATTTCTCATACCTTCAGGTCATGCATCGAAGGCCAAAGCGAAATGTGAAACACTTCTGTATAGACAAATAATTTATCTGTATCTCCATCTTTTACAAAGAGTGCTCACACTTCGATGACGTATTAGCAGAAGAACTACTCATTCGGGATAAGGTACCCAACACTTTCTTCATCTTTTCAAGTGATTGATGATCCAGCTTTCTTTTACCTAGAAATGATTACCGATGCCTGCGTTTAATAAGAGGCTAAGGGTTTGCTATTGGCATGAGAGGAGAATATGAAAAGAGTAAGAGGAGGAGACTCTGTTAAGGAGACTAAAGACTGAATTCAGGGTGTATATCG